ACTTGTTTCAGTTCGTCGTCTGCCTACAAGGCCGGAGGGCTCTCAATCTGTACACCGCCTAGCCGGCCCCGCTGCCCCAGCCAAAAGCCACGGGGAGGGGGGGTGAAACGCCGAGCGCGGGTAAGGACGCCAGTCGATTAGGGGGAAAACCCAGGAGGGGGGGGGCAAACTCCAGCCTGCGACGACGCTGCTGCGTGGGCCGTGCACTCTGGCGGCGGCCAGGGCGACAGAAGAGCGAGGGCGTGCCCCTGCCGCCTGGCCGGCCCCGCCGCCCCGGCCGAAAACCCGACCTGCAGTTGCCTGATCCGGCTGTGCACGAGGATCCACAGTGAGTGCAGCAAGAATCTCTGCTTCGAACAAGGTATAGCTTACAGCAAAGCTCCAGATCGCCGCGCCCTCGGGTGCGCGTTGGCCGCCCGCGGCCCGGATCCCCCTGATGGCCCGGAAGGGGGGGCTAAACGTTAGTACCCCCCCTCTTTTCACCAACACCCTCCACGACAGCCCCAAGAGGCCCCCCAGGGCTCCCAGGAGGCCCCTGAGAGAGCCCCAAGAGAGCTCCAGGAGGGTCCCAAGAGGGCCCCAAGAGTGCCCCGAGACCCCGAGACCCCGCAAAAAGAGCTCCAAGAGAACTCCAAGACCCCCCAAAAGAGCCCTAAGAGGGCCACGAGCCCTCCTCCTCCTCCTCCTCCTCCTTTTCCTCCTCCTCCTCGTCTTCGTTCTCGTCTTCATCCTTGACCTCATCGTTTTTTTGTTCCTGTTCCTCCTCTTCCTGATCGTCGTTGTCGTCGTTGTCGTTTTCGTCGTCGTCTTCCTCGTCTTCCTCCTCCCCTCGCCCCCACGCGGCCCCCAGGGATGGCCCAAAGAGGCTTTCCAAGGCCACCCCCATTGCTCCCAGAGATCTCTCTCTGTTCACCCTGGTTGCTCTTTTTTTTTCACTAGGTTCGTCTCCCCGTCCTTTTTTCCGTCAGCTCTCAAGGTCAGGGTCTCTGAATGGGCAGGTGGGGATACTTTTTGATCGCGACCGTAGCGACAACTCGCTCGGCGTCAAGTCGAACGCGGCTGAGTTGGTGAGGATTTTTTTTTTTCAGCCGCGGGCGGAAGCGCCAGCGGCGGCGGGCAACGGTCGGGCTGCGGCCGCTACAAATTGGCCGAAAGCGCGCGAGCGCGGCCGGCGCCATGCGGCGGGTGCAAGGGTGCTGCAGCCCAGGGAGTCTGACGGCAACCAGCACCCAGGGAGCAGTAATTACGCTGCCAAGGTGGCGCGATGCAAGACCCCCACCGTGTCAAGGATATCTGTAGAGTAGGGAGTCTGCCAACCTCGGCGCGGGAATGGCGTACCAAGGGGTCCCAAGGTGTCTGCCATGCTCAAGCAGAAGCGACCGAGACACACGCAAACTGTCGCCAGACTGCATACCGTAGGAGAGGTTGGACTCTGACAGCGCCAGCGAACCGTCGCAGCTTCAGAGTACGCACCAGCGCAGCCAAAAGGCGCGAAATTCGTGGTGTCTGTAACCGAACGAAGCACGTCAGGCCCAGGAGACAACCTCGAATAGATGCATTCGCAAGCGAGCAATCAGGTAACATGATGTGACGCTATGCGGAAGGTACAACTGTCCCAATCCTCTACCACGCACAAGTCGCAGGCGACTGCCAACCGGAGATAAGAGCAGGGACGCGTACTAGGGAGCATCTAACGTGACGAGCATTTTTCCCAACCATCCTGTGGTGTTGGGTCCTCGATTTGAAGAGACGGTGCCCCGCGTTCCTCTTCTCCTCCTCCACCCCCTCCTCCCTCTTCCCATCAGCATCATCATCATCATCATCATCATCATCATCATCATCATCATCATCATCATCATCACCACCGATTTCGGCACACCCCTCACACGTTTCGTGGCCCTCTAGGGAGCTCCACCGAAGGCCCCAGTGGCAGGGTCCGCATGCCTCCCCACCACCCATTTCGGCACACCCCTCACATGGCCCCATTCGTGCACCCCATCACAGGGAGCCCACCGAAGGCCCCAGTGGAGCCGCATGCCCCAGTGGCCCCACCCCCACCACCCATTTCGGCACACCCCTCACACGTTTCGTGGCCCCATAGGGAGCTCCACCGAAGGCCCCAGTGGCAGGGTCGCATGCTCCCCACCACCCATTTCGGCACACCCCTCACACGTTTCGTGGCCCCATAGGGAGCTCCACCGAAGGCCCCAGTGGCAGGGTCCGCATGCCTCCCCACCACCCATTTCGGCACACCCCTCACACGTTTCGTGGCCCCATAGGGAGCTCCACCGAAGGCCCCAGTGGCAGGGTCCGCATGCTCCCCACCACCCATTTCGGCACACCCCTCACACGTTTCGTGGCCCCATAGGGAGCTCCACCGAAGGCCCCAGTGGCAGGGTCCGCATGCCTCCCCACCACCCATTTCGGCACACCCCTCACACGTTTCGTGGCCCCATAGGGAGCTCCACCGAAGGCCCCAGTGGCAGGGTTCGCATGCCTCCCCACCACCCATTTCGGCACACCCCTCACACGTTTCGTGGCCCCATAGGGAGCTCCACCGAAGGCCCCAGTGGCAGGGTCCGCATGCCTCCCCACCACCCATTTCGGCACACCCCTCACACGTTTCGTGGCCCCATAGGGAGCTCCACCGAAGGCCCCAGTGGCTGGGTCCGCATGCCTCCCCACCACCCATTTCGGCACACCCCTCACACGTTTCGTGGCCCCATAGGGAGCTCCACCGAAGGCCCCAGTGGCAGGGTCCGCATGCCTCCCCACCACCCATTTCGGCACACCCCTCACACGCTTCGTGGCCCCATAGGGAGCTCCACCGAAGGCCCCAGTGGCATGGCTCGTATGCCTCCCCAACAGCCATTTCGGCACATCCCTCACACGTTTCATGGCCCATGGGGATTTCCACTGAAGGCTCCAATGACTGGGTTCGCATGCGCCCCCACACCCATTTCGGCACACCCCTCACACGTTTCGTGGCACCATCGGGAGCTCCACCGAAGGCCCCAGTGGCTGCGTTCGCATGCCGCCCCCACACCAATTTCGGCACACCCCTCACACGTTTCGTGGCATCATAGGGAGCCCCACCGAAGGCCCCAGTGGCTGCGTTCGCAGACCGCCCCCACACCAACTTCGGTGCACCCCTCACACGTTCCGTGGCCCCATAAGGAGCTCCACCGAAGGCCTCAGTGGCAGGGTCCGCATGCCTCCCCACCACCCATTTCGGCACACCCCTCAAACGGTTCGTGGCCCCATAGGGAAATCCACCGACGACGGTACTCACACCAGCATTACTCACAACTGCATATGGTTGGGTCCCTCGCCAGGCTAATTGTTTCCACATCCATCCTGTGGTGTTGGGTCCTCGTTTTGAAGAGACGGCGCCCCGCGTTCCTCACCTCCTCCTCCTCCCCCCTCCCTCCCTCCTCCCACAATCATCATCATCATCATCATCATAATCATCATCATCATCATCATCATCATCATCATCATCATCACCATCATCGTCAACATCATCATCATCATCAGCATCATCACCATCATCATCATCATCATCATCATCATCATCACCACCACCACCGATTTCGGCACACCCCTCACACGTTTCGTGGCCCCGTAGGGAGCTCCACCGAAGGCCCCAGTGGCAAGGTCCGCATGCCTCCCCACCACCCATTTCGGCACACCCCTCACACGTTTCGTGGCCCCATAGGGAGCTCCACTGAAGGCCCCAGTGGCAGGGTCCGCTTGCCTCCCCACCACCCATTTCGGCACACCCCTCACACGTTTCGTGGCCCCATAGGGAGCTCCACCGAAGGCCCCAGTGGCACGCATGCCTCCCCACCACACATTTCGGCACACCCCTCACACGTTTCGTGGCCCCATAGGGAGTTTTTCCCCCAGTAGTTCGCATGTCGGCCTCACACGTTTCCCCATAGGGAGCTCCACCGAAGGCCCCAGTGGCTGCGTTCGCATGCCTCCCCACCACCCATTTCGGCACACCCCTCACACGCTTCGTGGCCCCATAGGGAGCTCCACCGAAGGCCCCAGTGGCTGGTCCGCATGCTCCCCACCACCCATTTCGGCACACCCCTCACACGTTTCGTGGCCCCATAGGGAGCTCCACCGAAGGCCCCAGTGGCTGCGTTCGCATGCCTCCCCACCACCCATTTCGGCACACCCCTCACACGTTTCGTGGCCCCATAGGGAGCTCCACCGAAGGCCCCAGTCATGCCTCCCCACACCCATTTCGGCACACCCCTCACACGTTTCGTGGCCCCATAGGGAGCTCCACCGAAGGCCCCAGTGGCTGGTTCGCATGCCTCCCCACCACCCATTTCGGCACACCCCTCACACGTTTCGTGGCCCCATAGGGAGCTCCACCGAAGGCCCCAGTGGCAGGGTCCGCATGCCTCCCCACCACCCATTTCGGCACACCCCTCACACGTTTCGTGGCCCCATAGGGAGCTCCACCGAAGGCCCCAGTGGCATGGCTCGTATGCCTCCCCAACAGCCATTTCGGCACATCCCTCACACGTTTCATGGCCCATGGGGATTTCCACTGAAGGCCCCAATGACTGGGTTCGCATGCGCCCCCACACCCATTTCGGCACACCCCTCACACGTTTCGTGGCACCATCGGGAGCTCCACCGAAGGCCCCAGTGGCTGCGTTCGCATGCCGCCCCCACACCAATTTCGGCACACCCCTCACACGTTTCGTGGCCCCACAGGGAGCTCCACCGAAGGCCCCAGTGGCTGCGTTCGCATGCCGCCCCCACACCAACTTCGGTGCACCCCTCACACGTTTCGTGGCCCCATAAGGAGCTCCACCGAAGGCCCCAGTGGCAACGTTCGCATGCCGCCCCCACACCCATTTCGGCACACCCCTCAAACGGTTCGTGGCCCCATAGGGAGATCCACCGAAGACGGTACTCACACCAGCATTGCTCACAACTGCATATGGTTGGGTCCTTCGCCAGGCTAATTTTTTATTCTTTTTTTTTCGGTGCGACAGAGGCCATAAGTTCAGGACAACTGTAGCAAGTGCGAACGGTGCGGGCACAAGCCCAAGGCAAGCAGCTCGACTGTGAACGGATCGACCGCGCCCCGTTGAACAGGAACTGGGCAGAGGAAGGTCATGTAGAGCATCATCGCGTCCGCAGACCAGACCAAGGCCAAGAAACACACGCTAGCCAGTCCTTGCCAGCCCAAATTTCCCCACGCTTCCGCCAGAGCATGAACACCTTTCGGTTGACAACAGTGGGCCACTGCCGTAATCGCCATGTCGCCAAGAACATCAAAGGCCAATCGGAGCCCCACAAGCGCGAGGATCTTTGATGGAGGCAATGGTGCGGACCATGACTTGTTCGGCTGCACCTTCGCAACAATGAGAAAGCCTGCGACGGTTACCTGAGCAACGGCCCCGACGATGTTGTAATACGCAACAATCATTGCCAAGAGATGGCGGCGATCCTTCTCGGGGCCATCGTTGTCCAATGTCTCGCTGCATGGGCCCGCGTCGCCGTGAGTCTCGCCAGCCCGCTCTCCGCTGCCGGCTTGCTGTGCGCCCAGGACGGTCGGATCAAGAGACACGATGTTGTCGAACCCTGGGTGAACGAAGCTCATCCTTCCCGTTTTTCGGTGGCTGCAGCAACGCCCGAGGCAACACAAGCGATCTCGCAAGCTCTGGAGCGGCGTCGTCCCCGACAACAAGCAGTACTTGAACCTGAGCTCCACGAGCAGAGAGCCAAATTCGATGCAAACGCCAGAGACGACACTGGTGGAGCCCAGCTGCAAAATGGTAGCCAAAGTCAAACCGAAGCAAACCGGCCCTCCCATCAGCACTGCCGCGAACCGCAAGCAACGGAACTGGAGCATGTGGAACGCAAAAACAAAGTAGCTCTCCATGATGACCATGGTCATAGTCGCTGGAGCAACGATGCCCACGCAGATACGCGCAAGGTCACCCTCGATGGCGAAGTACCCATTCAATGTCACATCCCGTCCGTAGAACACTACCACGGAGGCAATCGCAACGAGAATATTGAGGAGCAATGTCGTCAACCACTCTCTGCGCGGAACCAGCATGAGGAAGAGCCCAGATGTGATAGGAAGCCAAAGCACGGAACTGACGCCCATCTCGAAGACGAGCCAGGACCCTTCGTTGAATCGACGACCCGAAATCCTTCACATCAGTAATTTTGAGTCTCGGAGCCCACAGGGCGGTTTTTCATGTTTTCCATTCGACGTTCCATGAAGCCCGATGTCATTCCGAGGCGCGCGTCGAACGTTTTCGATGGCGCGTCGCGTTATGCGACGTCACGTGCGTTGTGGTCGTCAAAGGCTTGCGTGCTTATTGCGGATCGGTTGATGCGGGCTGGGGTTTCTCAGGATTGTACATTTGCTTTGCGCTGGGGCGGTTTCGCCCCCCATCCCTGGCTGATCCACCCCGCGGGTAACGTCGCAGGAAGAGTTCGAACATTTGGTTCGTAGTGCCAGCGATGCTGTCGCGGACATTGACCGCGCCACGGGGGGGGTCGTCCAGAAACTTCCTACCATATTGCAATGTTGTTCTTCGTTTTGAAGATACACCGCCCCGCGTCATTCCTTCCGGCCCCCTCCCTCGTCCTCCCTCTTCGCGTATCTGCCCCTGCTCTCCGCGTGTCCCCGTCGTCATCGTCCATCGTCATCGTCGCCATCACCATCATCATCACATCATCAGCATTCTCGTCGTCTCCATCATCAATACCACCATCCTCATCAACATCATCAAAACACCCCCTTGTTCCCCCGCGTCTCTGCTTCGCCACATCCCCCGCAAGTCTCGTGGCCTTGTGAGGTGTTCCACCGAAGGCCCCATCGGCAGGGGTCTTAGTGCGCCGCCCAGCCCATGTCGGCACGCCCCTCAGACGCTTCGTGTCCCCATGAGGAGTGCATCGGAGGTCCCGGCGGCAAGGTCCACATGCCGTCGCCCAGGCCACATTGACACACCCTCAGACATTTCGTACCCCCATAGGCAGCTCCACCAAAAAAAGGTCCCAGCGGCAGGTTGCCCAGGCCGCCGCCCAGCATATTTCGGCATACGTTTCGCACGTTCCGTGGCCCCACGGGGAACTGCACCGACGGCCCCACAGGCAGGGCCCACAGGCCGCCGCCCAGCCCATTCCGTCATACGCTCACACGCTTCGTGGCCCCATTGGGGAGCACCCCCTATGGCCCAAGCGACAGGGTCCACATGCCGTCGCCCAGCCCATGTCGTCCACGAGTGGCGCCCACCACGGCTCCAAAAGCGCCCCAAGAGGCGCCGAGTAAGTTGCACCCTCATGCAAATAGTTTTTGTCACTTGTGGGGGTCCTCTTGGGGCCCTCTTGGAGCATTCTTGGGGCCCTCTGGGAGCGTTCTTGGGGCCTTCCCGGGGCCCCAGTGGGCCCCCGGAGGGCCCCGAGAACGTTCCCCGAGGGCCCCAAGAGGGACCCCCCAAAGTGGTACAAAGAATTCGTGCGAACGCGCAATCTGTTGTAGGCCTTTCGGGGCCCTCTGGGAGCTCTCTTGGGGCCCCCATTCGTGGCGCCTTGGGGCCTTGGGATGGCTCCAAGAGGCTTCGGGATTGCCCCAGACCGCCACAAGACAGCTCCGAGACGGCCGTCGAGCACCACGGGTGAAAGCAAGTGAGGCTAGGGAACAGGGCCTCTGGTAAGCCGCCACTGCGCCCCCTGGACTACCCAGACAGCGAGGGGACCCGAAACGCCCTGGGGCTCCAGGGGCCCCAGATTAGTGAAGTGAAGGTTTTTGCCATGCAAGCACCCCGAAATTCTTCACTTCACTAAACCGGACCCAGGACGAACTCGCTACGCTCCAGTCCCGCGGGAGATCCGAGACTCCCGCCGCCGCCCGGGGACGCTGCTGCATTGCGGTGCTCTGGTCACTGTTAATGGCTTCCGCGGGCTGCAGCGGCTCACTTCCATGACTACCCCGACTCACGAATCCAGTGGTTGGTCTGGCTCTATGGGTTGGTTTCGTTGTGTCGGTTGATTTTATGTTTGGTTGGCGGTCGGTGGATTTCGCGTTGTTCATTGGTGTCGTGAAGTGATTTGTCGTTTGGTTGGTCAGTGCCGTTTTGTTGATTCGTGCCGTTTTGTTGGTTGGTGTCGTTTCGTTGGTTGGTGTCGTTTTGTTGCTTGGTGTCGTTTTGTTGCTTGGTGTCCTTTTGTTGGTCGGTGTCGATTTGTTGGTTTGTTGGTTGGTGTCGTTTTGTTGGTTGGTGTCGTTTTGTTGCTTGGCGTCGTCCTGGCGGCGTGGCCGATAATCGTCGGCCTGCAATGGCGCCAGGATTTGTTTCGGGCCAGCCTTGATCGCCCTCATCATTCTCATATTCGTCAGCGTCAGCACTCGTCGCCCCCATCCGCGCACACATGCGGCCCTGGTACGGCTCTCACGCGGCCCTGCGAAGGCCTTCACTGTGCTCCCCAAAGCTTTCTGAGGGGCCCCCCAGAGGCCCCAAGAGGGCACTGGAAATTGTCGCTTCCAACTCCGCCAGGCGGAGGTCAACAAGGGTCTCACTGGTGCACTTCCAGGAATCGTCGTTCGATCCTCTTGGGGCCCTCCTGGGGCCTTCTGGAGCCGTCTTGGAAGCTCCGAGCGGCTCCATGAAGGCGCCGGGTCGATATCGCTTCCAATTCCGCCAGGTGGAGTTAGACCAGGGGCTCACTGAGGCCCCTTTTTGCGCCCTCCTCTGCTTTTGAAAAAGCCCCGATGGGGTTCTTCAGTGCCGTCTTAGGGCCCCTAAGAGGCCTCCAGTAGGGTATTGAAGTTATCGCTTCCAACTCCGCCACGCGGAGTTGAACCCAGGGCGGCTCTCTGTGGCCCTTTCGGGGCCTTCTTAGAGCTTTTCTGAGGCCCTAAGTGGGCCCTGGGAGGTGTCATTTTCACGGGAGTTGAAAGTGACACCGCGGAGGGCCCTCTTGGGCCCTTCTTGGGGCCTCTCTTGGGTCCCTCTGGGGGCCCTCTTGGTGCCGCCCTGGGGCCTTCTCGGGGCCTTCTTGGAGCCTTTCTGGTGCTCTTTAAGTGGGCCCTGGGAGGTGTCACTTTCAGGGGCGCTGAAAGTGACACCTCGAAGGGCCCGCTTTCCCTCGTAGCGCTGCCCGTGGCCGGGGCATTGTGCAGCGCATCCCTCGTCGAACGCATTTTGTCGGACGCGTGGTCGAATTCCGCCAGTTCGGTCGAGATGGTGGTCAAGCGGTTCGGTTGCAATGTAGCCATGCGGATCTGAGCTTACCATTTCTTGCCATTTTGGCGGGGGCTCGCAGGAGCGTTTGTGTTGTGATCAACTGTGCTCGATATATCCAGCGGCAGGGTTTCATCCCAATCTATTATTTTGAAAAAGTCAGCAGGGGCCAAATTGGTGATGTGAAGCAACATAGGTCTCGTATTGAAGTCAAGCGACATGCTGACATGCAGTGCAAGACAAATAAATCGCAAGGTCCAACTCAAAACAAAATTAACGCATTCCGAAGCGACAAGGGTGATACGTAAGTGCCTTTCTCCGGAATTGAGAGCATGATACACGGCAATACCAAAGCCGGGAGCGGCGATGCATTCCATGAAGAAGAAGCGCAATGCCTTGAAAACAAAGAAAGGGGTCCTGTCCCGAACTTCCGTGCGAACGCTCACCGCCCATGTCACCGGGTCCAACGGTAGTGTCCCAACTTCGTCGTCTTGACCCTCAATCCGAAGGAGGGCCGCAGATGTCCAACGAACCAATGTGCCACATGGCCAGGAAACCGCAACAAGCCCAACGATGGATGCTGGAATGGAATATCTGAGCACCCTTGCAAAATGTGCGGCATCGCTCTCATGTGGAGGCCGCGCCATGCTTGCTCTGCTTGAGCCCTTGAGGGCTACGGACGCTGGTGAGGATACGCGAAGCGTGAAGAGTTCTTGAGCCTGTCATGGGCCGGCCCGAAGCTTTCCTGAGGCCCCCTGGGAATACCAGGAGGGCGGTACTGGGGATTCACCTGAGATGTTCCAGAGGTGGGCGGGGCACCAGGGGGGCAGTATTTGTGTGTGTGTGTGTATCTGTATATGTATATACTAGAACCTTCGCGCGCTTCGCGCGCGCTCAAGTTCTAGCTAGGCTGGATAATCGAACTCTTGGGGATCTCTATTCAATGCAACGGCTTAAGACAGGCCGAATCGGCACTTCGGGGCCCCTTTTATTCGCCGCGGCTGGACGTAGCCGGAGGAAGAGGGAGGAGAAGGGGAGGTGAAGGGGTTCCCTGGGGGAGAAGGAGGATGAGGAGGTTTTCGAGAGGGTGGAAGAGAACGCGGAGGAGGAGGAGGAGGAGGAACTGGAGGAAGAGGAGGACATATGATATCTCCTCTTCTTGCAAGCGCATCGACGCTTCCGGGCGAACTTTAGAGCATCTGTCGGGATTCACGTTCTCCTCAGATGCCCTCGGGGCCTCTCTCTCGGGGCGCTTTCGGGCCTCTTCGGGGCTTCTTGGGGACCTCTTGAAGCCTCCTGGGGTCTCCTCTGGGGCTTCTTGGGCCTCTTTGGGGCTCTCTTTGGGGCCTCTTTGGGTCTCTCTTTGGGGCTCTTCGGGGCTCTTTGGGGCATCTTTTGGGCCTTTTTGGGGCCTCTTTGGGGCTCTCTTTGGTGCTCTTTTGGGCCTCTTTGGGTCTCCTGGGGCGGAGATCTCGGGCTCTCGGTTCACGTTCCCGATCCCGAGGCCACGGTGGGGGCCCGCTCGGGGCTCTTCTGGGCCTCCTTGGGGCCTCTTGCTCGCGTTCCCGATCCCAGGCCGCGGTGGGGGCCCCCTTCGGGCCGTCGGGGGCGTCTCTTCGGCGCTCCTGAAGCCCATCGGGCTGGCTTGGGGCGCTTTTGCAGCCCATTGGGCCGTCTTGGAGCGCTCCTCGGATCCTCTCGGGGCGTTTTGCAGCGTTGGGGAGCGGAGCAGGCGGAAACGCCAAACTTGCTCAGACACCTCATGTTTGTTGGCCCCTTCGAGCTCTGTTGGGAGACCTCTTGGAAGCCTCTTGGGTATCTTGGAGGCCTCCTATGCCGTCTGGAGGCCGTCTTGGGCGTCTTGGACCATCTGGTGGCCTTCGGTCCATCCCGCCACGGTGCCTGGGATGTGGGTTAGAGGCCTCTAGGAAATTCGTGGAAGGCCTCCCAGGAGCCTCTTGAAATAAATTCGGGGGGCCTCTGAGGAGGCCGTTTGGGGTGTCTTGGCCGTCAGGGGGCCGTCTTGGGGTCCTCAGGGGCCGTCTTGGGAGCCTCCTGGAACTTCTTGAAGCGCTCTCGGGCGCCTTCTTGAGGCCCTCTTGAGCCGTCTTGGGGCCCTTTTGGGCTGTGATCAGGCGCCCTTGGAAGCGCATTGGGCTGGCTTGGGGCGATGTCTTGGGGCCGTCGGAAAGCCGCAAAGGCGAGTACGCCGGACTCGTTCAACGCTGTAGGGAAATCTTTGAACTTTGCCTCTCGCGGCCCTCTTCGGGGTCTCCTGGCTGTTAGGTCGTGTTGTGGCCATCGTGGGGCCATTTGGGAGCCGTCCTTGGGCGCCCTTGTTCATCTATGGAGTCGTTGCAAGCCTTCTGGGGCCGTCCGCGGCGTCAAGAAGAGTGCGGGAGGCTACCCGTCACCTCCCGATAATAACCTCCTGGGGATGGTAAATTTCAGGGTCCAGGCGGGATAATAAACGTTTCCACGGGTATCTCCGCATAGTGATGAAGATGATGACGATGATGCTGATCAAGGTGATCTTGAACGCTCGTAAGAATCATTAACAACAGTCCATCAGATTCCTTCGGGAATCCATCGGGACCCGATGGAAACTCACAGAAGTCCTTGAATTATCCATCGGACTCCGGAAGACATCCATCGGATTGGTTGGGAAACCAGTGGGCATCTGATGGAAATCCATCGGACCCATCGGATATCCAAGGGAATCCTGAGGACAACGATATGGGGATCCTCAGGACATCCATACGAATTTCCTACGAAATCAATAGGATCCCCTCGGTAATCCATGGAATTCCTTTGGACACCCATCGGGATCCTATAGAACTCCATCATATTCCCCAGGGTATCCACTGGAATCCACGCATTAGATTTCTTAAGACTTTCACAGGATCCTTTGGGACATCCAAAGGATCCCTTCGGACATATACGAGACTCCTTAGGACATCCACCAGATTCTTCAGGATATACATAAGACTCCATAGGTCATCCACAAGGTTTCCTTAGGACAGCCATAGGATTCCGTAAGACATCCATGGGGTTTCTTAGGACAGCCATGAGCATCTGATGGAATTCCTGAAAACTCGTGAAAATAGCCGCAGGAATCCTAATGACATCTTGTGGACCCCTTAGGAAATCAATGCTATGCCTTCGGATAGCCATAGGATTTCTTAGGGAAACCATCGGGTTCCGATGGGAATCTATAGGGTTCCTTCGGATATCCATACGAGACCTTGGGTCATTCATTGGACTCCTGAGAAACTCCTCTGGAATCATATGAACATCTGCAGGGCTCCTTAAGCAATCCGTCCAATCCCTGAGGACGTCCATCTGGCTCCATCGAAAATCAATATGGTTCCTCAGGACATCTACAAGAATCGTATGGACATCCGTAGGGTTCCTGCAGGTAGCCGTAATAATCCGAATGACAAATGTTGTATTCCGATGAAAGTCTACGGGGTTCCTTTGGACATCCGTAGGAGTCCCAAAACAATCCATGGGAGTCCCTCGGATACCCGCCGGAATCCGAAGGGAACCAACTCATTCCCTCAGGACATCCATGGTATCCCCTTCGGACATCCATCGGGCTCCTTAGGACATCCATGGGAGTCCCATGGGAATCCTTGGGGGTTCTTGAAGATGGCGATGATGATGCGGCTGATGAAGATGATGGAAATGATGATTCCTCGCCCTTGCGGCGCCTGGTGCTCGGCGAGAGTTGGCTTCTAAAGCTTGCCTGAGAGCGAGGCCATTGCCGGTTCTCGCCAAGAAACCTCCCTTGCATGCGACCTCGAACCACTCGCCCCCGCAGGCTCGCCATCCTTTGAGGCCGCCCTTACGCGGGGGGCACCCCGGGCGCGCTAGCGCCGCAGCCTGTGTCTCCTCGAGGCTGCCGTACTTGGGCTCTGGCGCTGTCGGGTCACTCGGCGGCTCGGCCTTGCCCTTGCTCCTGGACTTGGCCCTGGCCTTGGCCGTGGCGGAGTGGTTGTCGCTCGCGCCCTGCAGCTTCTGGATCCACTCGTTGCCTCGATCGCGCGCCTGGGTGGTGCCGATGGGCAGCTGGCGACCCTCGCCCCGGATCTCGCGCTGGGCGCGTTCGACCCACCTCGTCACCCAAGGCCTGCAAGTCCAGCCGTCCGCTTGGGACATCCTGTTGCTGCTCGCAGGGCGTTCCCCGGCAGGGCCGATGGCGCCGAGCTTTCGGGCGATCCTCGCGGCGGCCTGCTTGCCGTTCTCGGGCGGCTGCTCGAGGGCGTCGCGATGCTCGAAAGCCGCGCCCGCCCCCTGCGTGGACACCTTGAGGTAGGTGTAGTGCGCGGGGGCTTCGGAGTGCACCGCGATCGGCAGGTGCTCGGCCTTCTCGGCTCACTCGGTCCAGCTCTTGTGCTCCTCGGGCTGCTGGCTCGTGCTCGGCCTGGCCCTCTCGGGCCCGGGCGACGGCCGCCGTGGGCTCGATCGCCAGAACGTTCTCGGGGGCGCCCGCGCGCTTCTCGATCTCGCCGAGCAGCGCGCTCGCCGTGCCCAGCTCGAGGGCGTCGCCCACCCCGGCCTGCTCGCAGGCCGCGATCGCTGGCTGCTTGGCGAGCTCGGTGTGCTGAGGTGCCCACTAGATTCTAGATGGAGCCCCACTTAGTTACGGGCGGAAGACCGCGCAGCATCGCCGATGCATCGGCCATGCATCGGCGACGCATCGACGTTGTCAGCGTGGAGAACGACGGGCTCCACATCGAGCCGCATCGGCGATGCGTTGGCAACGCGGCGCAACCCTCCGACCCCATCCGCTCGGATCCCAGCTAGGAAGCCTAGACTAGCGCATGCGCCAATCTATGTTGGCCGGCCAGGGGGGCTTCTAATCCTGCTCGGCCGTGGCCTGAGGGGCGCGAGGATCCCTTCGGAAATCCGGGGGATTCCTGCGGGAATCCGCTGGGTTCCTTAGGACATCAATCGGATTTCCGTTGGATCCCATCAGATTCCTGTGGTGATACATATTCCTTAGGGCATCCGTGGGATGCCTTGAGACATCCATAGGAATCCTCAAGGCAGTCCACAGGATGCCTTAGGCACCCCAAGAGAATCCGCGGGACACCCGTATGATTCTTCAGGACGTCATTGCGACTTCCCAGGGGATCCGTAGGAGTCCTAAACAAACCCCGAGAGGATACCTTAGGAGATCCATGCGAATCCTCCCGACATGCGTCGGGCCCCTTAGGTGATCCATGGGATTCCTGTAGAGATCCACCGGAATCCTTTGGGAACCCATAGGATGCCTAACCCGCAAGGCCGCTGAGGAACCCCACGGGGCTCTTTGAGGACATCATTCGGGGCCCTTAGGGCATCCATCGGTTCCCAAGGACACCCATGGGCTTCCTTATGAAATCCATGGGACTCCTTTGGACATCCGTGGGATTCCTTGAGGCGCGCATCGGAATACTTCGGCAATCTACCAACATCATCGCGGGAATCCAGAGGGCAAGGGCGGGGGGGAAGAGGGGGGAATCCCGGGGCCTGTTTTTCAAAACAGGAAATAATTCGAAACACCCAAATTATGTAAAGTCTAACTCGTTTCATTCACTGTGGCTGCTCATTCGCGGCGATTGAACGACATAACAAAATAAATATAACACATTCGGGCTGGGCGCGCAAAGAGGAGAATGAGGGGCGGGCTTGC